TGAAGCTTTGATATATTTACGGTAGGAAATTTACAAAATATCTTCATGGAACATGATCTTTACTTAATATCCTAATGATTTTTGGAATAAAAGAAAAATCGATAATTTTGACCCATAATGCACAGATATATTTGTAGCAATGTATTTGCTACAAATATACCCGCCTATCTCTCAAATGGACCATTGACACTCTATCTACAATCTCAATTAGGAGTAACAATGGTCCATTTGAGAGATAGGTGGCAGTAATGCACTTTTAAGTCTGCAATCCGCCGTAAAGCAAGAAGAAGACGCGAACGCGCTCAGGACACTTCGGACATTGCCGTAAATCAGAGGTAAAAAATGATATAACTACTGTTCAGTTTCTTGCACAGACCGATCGTTTCGTGTCTTAAGACCTCAATGTATCGTCACGAGTCGCAGGGTTTAATTTGGTTTTGTCTGTGTATGTTTTTTTGACTCTCAAAGCCATGATTCCCATCCACTGCCATTATATTGTTTCTTCAGTAGAACACAAACGAAGATTTTTAACACAAACCGTTGCAGTCTGTCAGACTTATAATGGAGGTGAATGGGAATCACGGCTTTGAAGAGTAAAAAAAACATACACAAACAAAACCAAATTAAGCCCTGCGGCTCGTGACGATACATTTAGCTCTTAAGACACGAAACAATCAGTCTGTGAAAGAAACTGAACAGTATTTATATCATTTTTTACCTCTGATTCACCGTAATGTCCAACTGTCCTGAGCGCGTTTGCGTCTTCTTCTTCAGCCTGCGAGTGAGGCGTCGTCTTCTTCTTGCTTTACGGCGGATAAGTGCTTATAAGTGCATTTATTTTGTCTGTGTATGTTTTTTTGACTCTCAAAGCCATGATTCCCATCCACTGCCATTATAAGACTGACAGACTGCAACGATTCGAGTTAAAAATCTTAGTTTGTGTTCTACTGAAGAAACAAAGTCACCTACATCTTGGATGCTCTGGGGGTAAGCAGATAAACATCACTTTTTCATTTTCATCAAAAATGAAAATTAGGCTGTGTTTTACTCACCCCAGAGCC